TACTTGACCTGATTTACAGCGCTAGTAAGTAGTTGTTATATTGGTTTGCTTTACAGCCACATCATCAAGAGGCTTCAATCACCAGCATTTTGAAGACCTGAAGATTTTAATCTATACTATTGTATTTTAGCTAAGACTTACACACCTGCAACTCATAAGTTGATGATATCTCTTAGCCTCAAAAATTCAAAGACCTCTTTTTCACCTCAATCGTAATTTGACTGAATTTTTCCCGCAAAGCATGTATTTTCTCATCCTATACAGATGATGTCAAAATAATTTCATTATGTGAAACTACAGTATCAAAGCAAGAATCAGAAAAGCAAGACAAGCTTTCACTACTCATGTCAAGTCTGTGTGGAGGTCAACAACACTCAGCATCAAAAATAAGATCCGGATGTGAAGTCAGTGCTACTACACGGATCATAGACTTGCACTGCGCGTCATAAAGAGCATCTCAAGCAAACTACAGACCTTCATTAACAGTTGTCTTCGCTCAATACTCAAGATCAGATGGTCGGCCATAAAAGATCAGCAACAGGGATCTCTGGCAATGAGCGAACCAACTCAGCAGGAACCGATTGTGAAACAAATAGGCAGGAAGAAATGGAGATGGATTGGCCATACTCTGAGGAAACCATCAAGTGACATCACTAGACAAGCCATTGCTTGAGTGGAACCCGAAAGGGAAGCGGCGAGTTGGTCGTCAGTGCGAGGGTGGGTGACTTGGAGGAGGTCATGTGAAGAGGAGATGAAAGCATGTGGGGGCAGACTTGGAGCCAGGTGAAAACTCCAGCAGAGAACTGAACGCAATGGAGACGCAAGGCTGAAGCCCTATGTTCCTCTAGGAATTAAAGGAAACAATAATAATAATAGAATAATACAGTACTCCTTGTACCTCTGCTTCTAACCTGAATGAACAACATATTTGGCTTGCCGGTTTGATCATACAGTACTAATGCTGTGGAGACACTGGTGACCACCTGTGGTTTAGATGTAGTATTGTCTACGCATACATATCACATCTCGCATCTTAGAAGTGAAACAGAGCAGACATTTACTCAGCAAAGACATCTCAAAATGTCTATCTGAGTACATCGTTATAGCTGAAAGGTGTAATTAAGCTACAAGTATAAAACTTGGGCACTGTGGTAGAGTATAACTCCATAATGGATAAGATTTTATTTTGATAAATCACACAGTGTTGTACAGTAATATTAACTGATGACCACGTTTCGAGCACAAACTATTGCCACTCATAATCATATCAAGTTACTCACAGAACTTTTTCCTCCATTTATATACATGTGTGGAATTGACTAGATATTTGAATAAAAAATCAATATGAGATAATGTACATTCAGAGAAAATAATAATAATATGAGTGTTGTTGATCAAATACAATTAGATGGGAAATAAGACGAGTGTTTTTATAGTCATAATAAGTTACTTGTTAGAATGTTGTCATGTATTTGAATTGAAATAGAATTTCGAGATTATTTATTATCCTCCTCTGATTTGACTGACTGGTGGTAATAATATCTTCCATATTTCTGGTATTTGCATTGAGTCATTTCTGTTGCATGTGTTGGGTGTGGACTCGATGAACCAGTCAGGATTCAGTAATCAACCTCTCTCTCCACCTACCTATGTTACTCTATAGAATTTTAACCCTATTCCACCCTATTGTGTGGTTGTTAATACGTGAAGTGCAATTGCTGAGCTTTTTTCTAAATTACTTATCTTCTCGGGGTCAATCATTTTTCCCTTAGCTAAATTCTTATGTTCTGATACTCTGACTATCCCTGATCTACTAGTTTGACCTATGTAGTTGACCTAACTCACAGTTATTGCAGGGAATTTTGTAAATTATATTATTTTGTCTAATTGGGTCCACCGGGTCCTTCAACCTACAAAGTTTGTCTCTGAGTGAGTTTGTGGGTATGAATGCCACCCTAATTCCTACTTTATTGAGAATCCTACGTAGGACCTCAGATATCCCCTCCTAATATGGTATAACAGTAGATGACTTAAATTCTCTCTTATTTATGTTATTACTACTAGTTACACAATTATTTTTTATTTTGTTTTTGGCCTTTACTGATCTTCTTAACGAATTTTATAGGACTCAAAATCTGACTGACCTGTTAAAGCGGCACACCTTCACTTGCATCACAATCATAACGAGGCAGTACTTTTCAACTAGTTTAAATACACATAGTCTTGAATATATATATATATATATATATATATTTAAAACAATTAGTTCCCTTTATGAATTTAGATAAAGCAATAAGACGTAATTTGTCTGAAACGTGTAGTGTATTTACCAATTTGAATGTACGTGTGGGCACACATACATAGGGAGGACTCATCGATCTCTAAGGGCTTCAGAGAATATTCCTAAATGGCTCCAGAAACAAATAGAATCTTCAGAACCCATTAATGGTGAGAACAGTAGATCTAACTCCTCTATTGCGAAACATATTATAGAGACAGGACATAAAATTGACATTAACAGATCGTTTAAACCTATCTATAAAACGTGTTTGGGGCGTATCCTAAAGTTTGTGGAAGCCCTAGCAATTAGAAAGTTTAGGCCACCTTTATGCGTTCAAAAACGATTCGTCATGACATTAAACCTTCCTTGGTGAATTTTGTTTTGACACTAGTCAGGGCAGATGTGCTGTTACCTCTGTTATTTGGTTTAGTGGTCTTCATTGTCACTTTGACCTTGAATATGTCCTTTTAACTTGACCTAAATCTATTTTCTCACTTCTTACCTCTTTATTCATTTCATATATATTCCTATTGTAACAGCAGAAGACAAGGGCCAGGCAACAGATCGTTTATTACGGAAAATCAACACGTATTTATAGATTTTGATGTACATTATTGTAGATTAATGTTAGTAGAAAATACAGTCTGTTGATTGGTTGTTTCTCACACAAAGTTAACCTTGCATCTCTTGTGGCTGTGTCAGTTCATCTATATGTTAACTGTATCCGCCTGTTCATCTTGACCTTGACCTCAATTACTGTCAACCAATTTGGCTAGCAACCATCTCTCACCACACTATGACAAGTCCGTGTGTGATGGATCAGATTGTTCGAAATGTGTTGCGCAAATACATTACACGATTCAGACAAATTACGTCTTCTTATTGCTTTATATATACATATATATGTCAGGTTTTTGAGTTCAAATTACTGTCTTATAAGCTTGAATACTATGAAATGCTATTAAATTCCAATTATAAAAAGAATAGAATAGCAACGAATTAATTGAGTGAAAGTCAATCTTTGATAAGAAAGTCAGGCATAAAATACCTTGGAATAGTTTCTTCCTCTGACCTTTTTTGGTCATCCTATATCTCATCGATTTCTCTTGCATCTTACCTATCGTTCTTTATCGCCTCCCCCACCGCACCCTGCGTTAGTCTTTCGTAGGCTACTTAAAAACGACTGTATCATATTTCGAAGGCTATCAGTAGAGCAGGTAGTGTGCCACTAAGTCAGCTGTTTACTACAGTCGGTCGGTCGGTTTTCGACATAGAACTTTGCACATATGAGCGGCAGTTCAAGTCGCCACACTCCCTCCATGTAGCACACAAAGCAAGAGAAGAAAGTAGAAGAAATGCATAGTATACACAGTAAACAGAGGTGTGAGACAAAGGAGCAGTAATAACGGAGAACAAAACAGTTTAATTGAAAATCACAAGTCACAAGGAGTGGATGCATCTGCGCCACTGAGAACGATTTTGAGCTATGTCACCAATTGTCTCGAGGACCCCAACCAAGAAGTCTGCATCTTCCTACGTGGCTTAAGCTAACTGTTGTGGATTTCATTGACTGGTGCCGTGTTTTCGTTTGACCACCGCTAGCTCTTTTCCAGCCTGACCCTATATCAGCTAACATTGCCCATTGTCGAGGAAGGCGATGACTAGGCATACGTAGCACATGTTCTAACCATCTCAGTCGATGTAATTTCACAGTTTCGTCGACTGATTTCCCCGCCTTACGTAGCACTCGACGCCTAACTTCAATATTGCTCACCTTATTATACCACTTCACGCGCACTTTACTACAGTAGTCGACAGGCATCTGACTCATGTGAAAAATCTATATTGTCTGACTCTCACAACATCCTCTTAATTCATAACTCTCCCCCACCCACTGATAGGATCCTACACACTTTGTTATTGTTCAATTATCTTAACGACTGTTAATCTCTCATAAGTGGTATATCATCATTTCCCACGCATTTTGTTATTGACTATTACGACCAATTATTTCAAATACTGTTAGCTGTCTGTATTGGTTCTAAAAATGTATAAATACCATTTCCTAAATAAGTTTCTTTGTCGTAGTTGTTGTACTACAATACACAGTCAGAGACCAGACTTTGTCTTTTGATATTTGCGTTGTTCGCTGAATCGGAAGGTACCAGAAGCAGATAGGCATATTAGTCAGGCGCAGACAGAACAAGGCGACAACGTCCTCATTTAATTCCCCTACAGTTATAACACCCACACACACACTTGCATTTCATCCAGTAGGACTAGAAGTCATCATACAGGATTGTATGCTCAAACAATTAAGTACAAAAACTCAACGACCGCGTTCTAGATGATAGAGAAAGTGTAAAGCGTGAAACTTATAACAACTTACTATGTAATTAGTAAAACAAATGCCTCTTTTACCTTGTCCTATTTGTAATTAGTAGTGGTAAGATTATTTTAATTATTTTATAATTTTATTCAGTAATATTAATATATTATTATCATCAGTTTACACTTTTCGTACACTTTTGAACTTATTGTCACTACTAATGCCAAAAAGTTGCTAATATCAATTTTGATTACCAATACCCTGTAATATATTCGCTTTGTCGTTGAACAAATTAGATACAATATTGTAACAAATGCTGAGAATTCCACGCTACGCTATATATAACAAGCAAATTATTATTATCATTATGATTAAATCACCAAAACTCACTAGATTCCATGGGATTTGGATCACAAAGTTGACTGAAAGGGAAATTCACCAAGCTCGGAAATGATGGAGTACTACTTTGTTTGTGTGCACCGAACTCCGATAATTGGGCAAGTGAATTGAAGGCAAACAATCTAGCGATATTATTCATTTTTGTCGCTAGATCAGAATTTTCTTCATTTTGTAATATGCTATCGACGTCCATATTAAAGGGTAGCGTGGATTGATTATCATTTCGAATGAAATTCTGTAAGACAGTTGTAGCTGCTTTTATAACTGGAATACTAAGATTATCATCTGTTTGTACAAACAAAGGTTTAATTGGCGCTTGGACACTAATTGGGATGAAGGCGTTCCGGTAGTGTTCCAGTGTAGATGGAGAATAATTATATAGAGTTGGAACGGTGTTTTGTTCACTAATTTTTGCCTTATTACACGTAGTAGTAGTAGTAGTAGTAGTAGTGTCGTTTGTTTCTCCAGAAGCAGCAGGAGGGAGAGCAGCAGCGGTAGGTTGAACATCAATTACTTCACTGAAAGGTTTCCGCTCAAATCCTTTGGATTCTAGACAGGATGAATTAAGCGCTTCTGTAACTCTTCTTATAAAGTGAAAAAGAGAAGAAAAAAGGGAACAATGAAACTGATGACCAGTACATGAATAATATTTTAATTGATTTTTCTATTATAGCTTGAAACCACACAGTATTTTTGGTACAAGTATGGAATTTTCAGCATGCAATATCGGTAGCCCAAATTTTGCAGGCCGACCATTGATATCAGGTATGCGCCGGTAATGGATCAAACTCCGGACTATGTTCATGGTCGGCGAGAGTCCTATCCGCTGTGCCACCGACGCACGGAGTAAAGGGAGGACCGTGAGGCCTCCCCACTGACAAAAACTACACACTCAAGCGCACCCGATTAGGGTCCGTCGTGAGTTTTAACCTACCGAAGTGCAATGGTGAGGCTCCACCCGGGGTCAGAGCATTCTTGATCACCCTGAACCCGCCGCCAGGTAAGTCTGGAATATAATAATATTGTAAGTAATAATATTGTTTGGAATTGGATCCTATACTTTTTTTAATCAATGAAAACATAGTTGGAAGTAAGACGGTAATGTCAGGAAGACTACTTTGACTGTACTTCTTCTCGCATAACTCAAATATTAATCCGTAGGAAAATTAAAAGAATTTTGAACTCTTCGTAGGTATATGCTGAAGTGCCTAGATCAGCTTTTAAAACTCTTCTAATTGTGATGGAATGGAGTATGTGGCACACTGTGCACGGGGAATGAGAATACAGAAATACGTTTGGAGATCTAGACTTCGTGGATGATTTATTTCTAATGTTACACAAACTCGAAGGCTTACAGGCGAAAACAAAAAAGTTGCCATAAGAAGCAGCAAAGACAGGACTCCAGGTGAACGTAGAGAAGATGGAGGTGATGAAGATAACCAACCGACGACAGCAACAACAACAACAATCAGCACCAATCGCTATCAACGTTGGAAATTTGGAAGAGGTCACTTTCTTCACTTATCTAGGCAGAATCATAGCCAACACATGTGGTTGGCACGGATGATGATGTCAAAAAAAGCCAGAATCGGAAAGGAAAGGGAGATATTCATCACTCTGAAATCAATTTGAAAATCTTCTGCACTCAGCACAAAGGACAAAATCCAAATTTCCAACATCAATCTTAAGTCAATCAGTCAGAAGCTTGGCGCGCGAGTCACAAGAAGCATTTCCAACAGGCTACTACAGAAATTTATTAACAACTGCCTTCGTTCGATCCCGAAGATCAGATGACCAGAGAGAAACAATTAGCAAAAGGAATCTCCCGGGACGAACTAAGCAAGTGACTATTGCTCAACAAATATTTTACGAAAAACGGAGATGGGTTGGCTACACTCTGAGGAGACCGTTATGTGACACCACGTGCCAGGCCATCACTTGAGTGGAAGTCGAATGGGAAACGATGAGTTAGGTTGGGTCTGAGGGTAATATGGAGGAGATGGTGTGAGGAGGAAATGAGAGACTATGGGCAAACTTGGGGCCAGCTAAAGAGGACCGCAAAGATTAAGACAAAGTAGAGAGGTGCTGTTGAAGCCCCAGATTGTACTCTGAACCTAAGGGAACAATAATGCTAATAATAATACAGCACAAATATATGGTCTAAAGAACGACCACGGATCAGAACTAAGTTATCAATAATGTAAATGGTCATTAATTGATGAGCATAAACAGTACTAACGGATTTGTGACTCAGTCAGCTGTAGTGGACATGAAACTGTGATTAAGAGTCTTGTAGATGCATTTTTCATATTACTGGCGCTGTAACTACGCCAAAGAGCAATGATAAGTTTGTTGTATCTTAAATGATTCGTATATAAGTTATAGAAAGAAAGAAAAACAAACAGAAAGGTAGAAATTCAGTTATGCATAAGGGAACCCTTTGCAAAACATATGAACCCATGAATTCTTCCAAAAGAAGTGTTGATTTGCCTGGATGGAACAATTGAAAGCTCTGTTCAAAACTTAATGCTCCAGTGTAATGACCAATCCCAGTGACCAGTTTGAAGTGGCTGGAGGGAATTACAATAAGTAAGTGAATTCTAGCTGGAGATATACTCGACTACATACATCAAGCATTTTTTTCGCAAAATGTTCTGATCAATACAACTTTGTCGTCAGACAAAACATGTTGAAAATGCGACAGTAGTATGCACTGATATCACATCCTGACTCCCTTAAAGTGTAGATATCTAAGATGACATTTTTCTTGCTTAGTACAAACCATATTTCAAATTTGGCGAATCATTTCGTTATTTCTAAACCTTCGGTTCATTGAATCAAGCAAATTCAAATTGTGAGTTATGAGCTTTGGTCCAATTTCAAATAGAATAACAATGCACAAAAAAAGTAGAATGCTTTTCTGCTTAGTATGTTGAATTGCAAGTGATTATCAAGTCACGTGGTTTAATTTGTGTAAGTGTTGGTGAACACCAGTTAGTATCAAACAACCTAGTATATTCGAATTCCTTTCCACTTTGTTGGGGTTGCGAATTCTTCCTATAGCTTCTTAGTTTCTAGTTGACAGAAAACTGCAGCAATATGATCAAAGTATTACTGTCTTTTATAATAACACACATTTACAAGCTGTATAGATTCCACTTAACTGTGCCAAATTTAAATCGACTGTGATATCCATTGATCACTCCTAAGTTTTACAAACCAACCCTGTTATATTTGGTCTCTTTGTTGAGTTAATTATAAATTTATTTATCATTCGACAAGCTTTTTATACTGTATGTGCTGAAGTTGATTGGATTTTTATGTGGTGCTCTAACTTTGAGATAATTACTGTCTTGCGGCAATGTCAGCTCCTTACCTAAGCAGGAAACTACTAAGCTAAACGTAATTCGATGAAGCACCCTTAAAACAAGGTGCTGAATAGTATTCTACGGTAGAAATCTCACGTTTACACATTTATGAACTCATTTATCTTGGAGAAAAGTTAAAAACCATAGTCTTGTATATTAAAGCTACCAGCAAAATGAGCGAAAAATAGAGGTATAATTAAATTAGACGACAAAATCTATTGACGATGGTTACCAAAAGTAATCTAATTTCCAACTAACACTGAAGTTCCGAAAAATACAAATATCAATTAAATTGCAATCTGATATACACAGAATTGGCTTGCATTCACAAAATCTTTTACAAAAGAAGACGAAACAGCCTAAGTGCAACTCATGTTGAAAAGACTCTCACTCAAACACAGATATCAATAAAAGATGACTAACCATATTGAAAGTATGTTCGAAAATAGGGACAAAAAGAGTGATGTAAAAAATAAAAATGAGTGCAGTGGGCGGATGCCCACCCAACTTAACAGATAGTCCTTAAACCACTTATTTAATGGTTGCGAAACGAACAGAGTTTAGGAGAGAAGGAAAATACAGCTGCACAGGAACTGGAATTACGTACACAAAATCTACAAGCTGTGTATAAGTCCTGAAATTTATTGAAAATATCAATCAGAAATTCAAGTTATAGAGTTTGTCATAGGCTTCACAATATAAATATATATCTTTCCAGAGAAACTGAAGTACATTTTCTTGGAATCCAACATATACGATACAAAAAGATTTATTCAATTTCGTGGCTATCCTTACATATCGCCACTTATTAAGGTGACAGTTTATGCCAGCGGCAGCCAAACATGTGAATTCCGGCGATGAAAAGTTCATATATTACAGAATTTAACCGCCTTGTGTCACTAATAAGTCACTGTGATATCCCATCAGTTAACATCAGTATTCAAAGGGAACAAAATGCTATTAGAACTCAGGTTTCATTATGCAAGTTTTCAGTAAAGTCCAATTCCAAAGGGATTTTGAACAGTTCCCTGAGGTAAACAAAACGCCCCACAATCAGTTTTTAATTACTAGTCACTAATGTGAGCACTTTCCAAGTTTCATTAGGGATATTTTGATACGTTACTGATCACCTGTGACACCTTCGGAGGTGTCTCGTATATCGAGTAATGACTTTGGAATTGCTCGAGCCAATTTATTCCTCGTAACTTCAACCGACTATTCAGAGAACATCACTTTAGAGTTTTAGAAAGTGGCCAGATCACTTTCATCTGGGAGTCCTAATTGAGCAGAGAACCAGCAAGATCCTTTGCCGGAGTACGTAGATTAGGAATCACTTACTATTCTCTTTGGAGACCAAGTGGCCGAAGGTGACAAGTGAATAGGAACCCCAGTAGCGAAGTGGCCAATAGGCATTTGCCCAAAAATTATGCCGGACGAAGTGGAGACGAAACTGATGCACCCTGAGAAGGCATTCAAGTGACATCACATACCAGGCACCCATGTGGAACGAAAATGGGGAGCGACAGGTTGGGTTTCCGAGAGTGACATGGAGATTATGTGAAGGGGAAAAGAAAGTTTGTGGTTAGCCATGGTGTCAGTTGAAAGTGATAGTGAAGGACTGGGTGCGATGGAATGTTTGTTCCATTAGGGACGTGGGGATTGGATAGCAACGTAGCAACACTATTAATACCAGAGATCAGTATACGCTTCTCAGTATGATTCATGTCCCTGGGAAATAAAACTAATTAATGTTTCTGACTAACAACTTAAACCTATGAATTATAACATAATCATAGAATGCCTTGGAAACAAGAACGGGGAACACATACAGGGTGAGAAAACATTCAAAACACAAAGAGGTGAAAACAATACTCACCGAACACTTTGTTCATTGAAAGCCAGTGCAGTGTCCCCAAGTCTAGTGATGTCATGTGGAGACCGCCAGAAAGCTCTTTTCTTAGGGTGGCAGAAAGATTCTAGTTCCACCACCTCTACAACAAGCACTATATTAGTACTCGGGAACCTTAGTTTACATCTGAAGCAATAAATGTGAAGATAATACTTTTATTGAGGCAACTTACCCATCGGATAGCAAAACAAAATCTGGTCTATTCATGTGAAACAATCCATCGATAAAAATTCCGTTTTTGCTGAGACACCTGAGATAGATGTCTTTGTTTTTTCTGTGTATTTCCAAATGTTTGCGAGATACGCATTCAGAATCGTTAAGACATACGTCGACAGGAACATGACTTTTGCGACCAATTGTTATTAATGTCTTTTCAGAAACGACTGTACATGAAGGTCCTGTGATTTTTATGGATATTTTTCTAATGTCGATCATAAGTCTTTCTTCAGGCGTATACTACAAGGTTAACTCCATCGGCTTCAAAATACCCCTGGAAGTTGTAGGTCATTGCCCAGGCGCATCAGAAAGCTTAAACAAAATCACACTCATATTTAAAATCTGGAAGCAAGACAATTAGAAGCCTCTGCTAGTTCTTTTTAGTAAACATATATATTTACACAGCTACTTCCTGGGGCACCAACTCAAGAAGCATGGACCACTTCTCCTGGATGTCACTCAATGACTAGACTAATATATCATGACTGTCTCGTTTAACTTATGCGTCCCTCGAGAAGTCCTAAACTAGTTTTTTTCAAAACAGGGAGTATATAAGGCCCGAAGAAACTGCTTAACAACTCGCAAGTCACCATCGGACCTCCACAGTACCTAACATGCAATAAAGATCAGATATTCGCCCCCTGCCAACATCCGTCGTAGTAAGAGGAGGTCATATTGTGGCTTCTAAGATACGATTACGGGTTAAAAATATCCAAGTTAAACTAGATACGGATGAGCTGCACAAAGCTCATTCGTCCCTAGTCTAGGCCTGTCAACAAATGCTGCTTAACAACACTTCGTGATGACATTCTGCGTAGAACGACCTCTTAAACTGTTCTATCAGGCTTCGTTTTTTGCATCCCATATCCTTTATCCTGTCTACGAGCTTGTATATACCAGTGATTTCTTTGAGCTCGCTTCTTGATTGTAAGGTAGAGGTTCCAGATCTTCGGTGAACTTATGCGTAGTAAGTCTCACCACTCGACTGCTTTAGCTCTGGTAGACTCCAAGAGGAGTGGTTCGGGGATTGGTCAAAATGTGGTTTGTAGTGGTCAGTATGTTAGGACTGAGTTTCTGCCGTGAATGGAGTTTGACCTAACTCCCGTTGGTCATTCGGTGTAGTCATAAAAGCAGAATAGTAATAATAATAGTTTGTAGTGTAGATAATATAGGTTGAGATAAGTGAAATAAGAAAGGTGACCTAAGGAAAAGATAGAGTAGTCGGTACAGTGAGAGAAGACAGAACGGGTCATGGGGATTTAGCTTGTATGCTTATCCATTCACAGTGTGGTTTCAAATTTTAAGAGGATAAGCCATTGAAACACAAACCTTGCATTTCTGCATGATTGTCCAGCTTCCGCTTAAAAGTTTCCACAGATGGCGCTGTAGTCACGGCCGCCGGTAAAGCGTTCCAGAGACGGCAAACTCGAAGCGAAAAGAAATGTGAACGCACTCGAGTCTTTGGTCTCTGGTGTGCTATCCTTAGCGGGTTACCTCGTGGAAGCCTATAATCACTTAATGGCAGGATGCTTTTATTTGGGTGGGCCTGGTCATTTCAGATCTTGTAGGCGGTGATGAGGTCTCCCCTGTGACTACGGTAACTAAGCGCGAAAAGACTTAATTTCTTCAATCTTTCCTCATATGATTTGTTGCGGAGGCCGATCGCCCATTTTGTCGCTCATCTCTGGACACTTTCTAGCATGTTAGCATCCCTTTTGAGTAGCGGAGGAGCAATGATATTATGCACCTCAAGGTGTGGCCTCACGTACGTCTTATACAACCTTAAGAATAGTTCAGGAGTAAAAGCTCCCAGCTGCCTATGCATAAAGTGTAAAGTTGCGTAGGCTTTGTCGACGTCCCTCGTGTAATTTACACTGGTGTCTAGCTTTTCTGTTAATATAAGGCCTAGATCGCGTTCCGATGGCACACAACTCAAGTTCTGGCCAACAAGGGTGTGATTTGCACTCTGTGACCTGCCGGAATGAAGTTGCACTACTTTGCACTTATTTAAGTTGAAAGGCATTCCGTTAGCCAGAGCCCAGTCTCCCAGAGTTTGCAGGTCAGCCTGCAATCTGTCTGAGTCTTCCGGTGAGTTTATTGCCCTCCAAATCTTTACGTCGTCAGCGTAAAGAAGCGCAGAGCAGTTCAGTTGACAGGGCAGGTGGTTGACAAAAATCAAAAACATCAACGGCCCTAAGATAGAACCCTGAGGAACCCCTGATGCCGAGGTGTGCCAGGATGATCGGATGCTGTTGACTTTGGTGCAGAATTCTCTCTCGCCTAAATAATCTTCCAGCCATGCGAGAAGTGCTCCAGAAACACCCGCTTTGCTTATTTTCTGAAGGAGCAGACCACGGTGAACTGTGTCGAATGCTTTCGCAAAGTCGAGAAAGATCACATGGACTGGTACCTTTACATCCCAGGATAGTGTCCAATCGTTCCAAGCTAGTGGAAGATTCGTCACTCAGGATCTTCCCCTCCTGAAACCGTGCTGTGCTTCATGGAGTAGGTTAGTCCCGTCGAAGTATTTTCTCATGTGGTCGTCAATGAGACTTTCCAATATCTTCGATATCACTGGAAGTAGCACAACTGGTCTGTAACTGGTCGCATTCTGCCGGTCACCACCCTAGAAGATAGGGGATAGGTTGGCTCGTTTCCATTCACATAGAAGTTTCCCTACATCAAAGGAGTGTTGAAACAGATCACTGTGGGTTTGGCAGAGACTTTCTGAACACTGCTTCAGGACGGATGGTCTTATGTCATCGCAACCTGCAGGCTTTCCCGAAGCCAACTTTCCCAATTTTACGAGTACCATAGCCGGGGTAATTTGAAGTGTACCCAGCAGGTTTTCGCGCGTTGGTTTTGCATTGTAATCTTGATGCTTTGTGGGGGTAATGTCCTCGTCACTGTTTAGTTGCCTGTAAAAGGCTAGACTGAATGTCTCTGCCATTTCAAGACTAGTAAGAGATTTCCCATCAGAACCCACTAGATTGCAAGCTCCGAGGTTGGTCGGTTTCCTTTCAGATATAAACCTGTACAGGCCATCGGGGTTCACGAGAAGCTTATTGGCGAGGTTTCTCTGAAATGTCCTTCTACCACTCCGGACTCGTATGTTACATCGATTCCTCAGCTCAAGGTACACTTCATGTTCGTATGACTCTTCTATACTCGCCTCGCAAACCAGGCTTTCCTCTTCGCCTGCAGAAGGCTTTGTGTCCCCCTTTTTAGCCATGAACGTTGCTTCCTGGCTTGTGGTGTGACTAAACGAACAGTGTCTGAGACCGCCTGGTGAATGATCTCCTTTGCCACTCCCCAGTGTTCTTCGACTGTAAGCTCTGTTCAATTTTTTGGCCAGTTTGCTTCAGATAAAAGTCTTCGCATTCCGGTGTAATTGGCTTTGTTGTAACACAGCTAGGGCTGTGTATTGTCCCACTGTAAACGCTCGCGGAGGACTATGTCGAATACTATGACCGCGTGGTCACTACTACCTATGGGAGTCGTGATCTGAACGTTTTCCACTAGTAGCTGGTCACTAGTGAGCACATAATCCAGTCTAGAAGACTTCCAATCTGGGCCCCATCTAGTATCCATTCTGACATTTCCAGTGAATCCGGTCTCCCTGATGGTATGCAGCAGATTTCGATCAAATATATTATGGGCGTATCCCGACATCAAGTGAAGAGGTGGGGCATTGAAGTCGCCAGCTATGACAATTTGATCATAACCCACGTCTTGTATCGCAGAAATTGTATTTAGCAGTATCTGGTTGTGGTCTGCTCCACATGAAGGTGATCGATAAATGCTGCCCACTAGATATTTGCAGTACCCAACGGTGAAATGGCACCATATGGAGTCAGGGAGCTCAGTGAGAGGAGGGTCTATTGCGTGTACATATCTGAGCTGTTTGTCGACGTATATGGCGACTCCACCTCCTTCTTTCAGGTCGCTATCTCGCCTGACTAGGACCATATCATTTATACTGACTTCGCTGTCTGTCACCGTAGGGGTTAGCCAGGTTTCCGTTAGTATTATGATTTTGGAGTCCAGCTGTGATTGTGGGTTTCTAAGTTCAGCTATTTTGCCTCTTAACCCTCTTACATTACTGTACAGGCAACTGGTAGTCAGTCTTACCACGTCCCCGTATTGGGGGCTGGTTGACTTGATGTGGACTGTCGGTTGAGGAGTCATCCTACGAACTAGTCTGCCGATTCCTCGGGAACCGGCCCGTTGGCGTTTTTTCCTCTAGTTCAATCGTAGCACTTGGATGACACTGGCTATCATCGTCCGTGCTGCACCACTGTATTGCGACTAAGGGTTGGGGATTTTCTTTGACAACACATTGTTCTCTCCTTTGGATACGAGGCCGGCTCTCGCAGCAGCGAATGTGTCTGCTGACCTTGTCCTTGGTCTCGTACCACCTCTGGAGAGCAGTAGTCAAATGGTCTCGGGAGCTGAACTTGACAGCTAACAGACGTGGCGTGTTAGTTGACATAAGGTGAGTGGGTCGAGGCAGTCTATAAATGGAGACAGCCCCTGAACTTCCCAGAGCCATCTGGGATGCTAACCGTCTCCAACGACAAAAAAACAAATATTACATAATAATAATAAAACGTTGTTGTAGCACCTATGTAGCAATCACAGTATGCATAAAGTATGAAATTGTAGTAATAATAGTAAGAACAACTAAAATAAAATAGCGAAGTCGTAATTAAACGGTAGAAAGTGTGATACTATAAAATTACAGAAAGATGAACGATGAAAGAGTCGATTCACTTTGCTAATAACATAGTAACTCATTTGTTTCACGTCTAACAGTGTCTTCATCCAAAAGGGGCTAAATAGGGTACTGTAGAATTTTTGTACTTAGTGGTGCGAGCATATAACATCTTAGTTGTGAATAAAGGGGGTGCAGGGGGTCTGACAGTACGGCCTTTGCCCATTTTGCACAGAATTTTATATGTCTCGCGACTATGATATTGGCGAGCTCACGCAGTGGCATACCACAAGCCCCACTCACAGCATTTAATACCCTTCATAACATTATACAGTCTTTTTTGAGAAGTCCAGGAAAGATTAATGGAGAGCAATAGAGAACAATAGGAAAAATACAGGAGTTCACAAACTGCAGAAGTAAAGGTTGGTTGATACCTGATTGTCTTAACTTTTTAATGTAGAAGGTAAGACGAAACATTTTCTTAGAGATCAATAAGATGTGGGATGACCATGAAAGGTCAGAGGACAGAACTAATCCAAGGTATTCAATGCTTGTCTTGGTTTCAATTTCTGTGCCATCTATGCTT